GCAACTTGCAAAGATCAAAGCCGGGGAAATTTAGTCAGGTGTGGTTTAACCGAAGAGGCTAAATAATGAACGATGAATTTGATACAATGTGTTGATGTGAAAACGTCAACCAGAACATCGGCATTCCTTATGTTAGGGATATAAGATTTAGACTAAAGTTTAGACCAATTACATTCTTGTTCAACGATAAACCACATAATTTTTAAGAAAACTTGTCAATTTAATTTTACTAAAGTATTACAAATTTCGCAGAACATGACCGACTTAAAGTCAGGTGTAAGGTCGGAAATCATTAAATATGTATATATATAATTTTGACATTGTTGTGGTATACTTGAGAACATATTTTCAAGAAATTTTTTATATATAAATATAACTCACACACTGAACGATATATTCGTCATAGGACTTGTTAGAAAGGCGAAAATCATTATATGTACCATATAAGAATAAAGACCAACCGGAAATTTTAAAATTATATATTAGGTATATGGGGTGCAAGAGACGTATTGTTCCATTTTAAATACTCTTACTCTTACCATTATCCATAAATGGTATATGAAGTAAAGTCAGTTGGATGTTCGAAAATCGTGATACTCGTTCTATGGGGGCCAGGAAAAGTTTTCACCCGATTTTAACATTTTTAGGCACAAATATTTAGTAAACCCGAAGTACGATGTTTGTCTGTAGGTATGTGTGTGTGTACAACGATGTTCAACACAATCCGCACGCGCTTCACACCTATTTGTGGACAAGTAAACGCGTGTACACACGCTTAACGGGCTATGTAATGGGATTAAAATTGCTTATGTACACAAGCTCATTTGTAATATATAATATATACTTGTATGTGTGTATGTGAGACTACAAGTACTTATGAATTTGTTACGCAACACAATATCACCAGTACGTGGCGCTGAATTAAATCATCACGCTATTCCACCGTAAGCAAAAGGAAAACAATATCTAACTGTAGCAAAGTGAGCACGTTCGCATCAATATGTGGGGCTTGCAGAGTAAAGCACTCCTACAAGTTGCAACTTTTTATGTTTTTCAAAGTTAACATTCAAATAGATTGCACGCACTTACGCACCAATTTTTACACATTTATATTTATATACGTGTGTACATTCTCACATATGCACATGCAGCTACTCGATGGATTTCGCAGACTCACTTGCTGTGAACTCCAATGAACCACACGGTGCTAAATGTTTGCCTTCGTTGTCTAGCGGTATTGTTGCGAATGCCTTTGTTCAACTACTTTTACACAAGCTACTGCTTGTATTGCTGTTGAACCATGAAAAACAATTGTGAATGCGCTAGCTGGAGAATGAGCACACATACAGTAATAAACACTTACTCACAGACACACACGCACACGTCTATATTTTGCATCGAAACAAAAGCGAAATATTCTTGGGATGATAAGGACAGCTGCAACGTAGAATATGTTGAAGAAACTGTATTCGAGTATTATGAGTAAAAAATATGGGGCGCTCTCAGTTTGCCACGCAGATGATTTAAAATAAAAATTCTTGTAATGAAATGCACGCAGTGTCACTTAAATTTAAAACCAACATTTCATGAGCAGATTTCTTTATAACTTGAAGCGAACTGAAACTTATGATTTACATAAATTTAAAGTATACCCCAAGGGGCAGAACGTCCCAAGGCTATACAAATAATAGGTTGCTATAAGTATATGAATCTTCAGATTGTACTCCGACTCGATTTTTATGTATGTATATAAAATACCTACAACAGTAATACTCGCTCTTTCAACGAGCTCATAACACACAATCGTGCCAAAATCTTGAATATACCGCCCAAAGTGCTCAAAAAAAAAGTATAATGCTTGATCTCCTTTAAAAAATAAATCCAGGCAAGTTCTAAAGAGTCAAACTATGTTGTTCAGAGAGTCACACATTTATTACATTGCTACAAAACAGTTCCACGATTTTAAGCCACAAATTTATTTCTCTTCACAATTGCATAATTTCTAAGACTAATTCTATTTCATAGCACAGTTTATTGTGCATTCGAGTAAATGAACATCTCAATTGCGGTTCAATCGGTTTTATAATGCTGCAGCCGCCGTAGAAGTCGGTCATATGGCAAACGAGACTAATGACACGTTGCAGACAATTTTTGTCACGAAATGGCATAAATGAATAATACTTGTATGAACAGAAAATAAAATGAAAATTACATCAAACAGGAAAATAAATAAAGTAAGAACGTAAAAGGTAAAAAAATGTGTTTTTTATTAATATTGATTTGAGACTGTTTGCCATGTATTTATGCGCCATGTCCCAGGCCTTTTATTCAAATTTTTTGCTTGATCCACTTTTCTGCGTTACTTTTGCTTCTACAAAAGTGCATATGTACAGGAGAGATGTGATACCTACCAGGATTAGCCGTTCGACGGCGCCGCAATCGCAAATGATTTCCATAAACTGCTGCAATCAATCAGACTCGCAGGTTTGTAGAGGACATGCCCGTGAATTTTGGGCAGAAATCAAAGAGAAATTTGATTTAACGAGTATCAACGTGGACGTGCGTTAGTTTTTGAAGAGGCACTCAGGTGTCTCGAAAATGGCACAGACGTTAACGCGATAAAAGTCAACTACGACATCACAATAGTCTGAGCGTGGAAGACTATTTTGGAGACCTCCAACTTTCTGACGGGTTAAAGAATATGGTTTATCGCTGAGTGGATACATAAGTCACTATTTTTCAAAATTTTCATTTGTCTAAATATAAGTCAAAATCTATTTGCTAAGACGACCTTCATTCCAAAAAAACATATTTCGTTTTCTCTGCAAAAAAAAAAGAAAAGCACAAAATGAACTGTGTAAATACAAGAATTTTAAATCTTTATCAAATATTCATTAGATAGCAATTATTATATTGCCATGATATAGGTGTGTGTGATACATATATATAAACAGGACATAAAATGATACCCTGTGCTTGTGTGCATAGCTATCACGCAGTGGTCTTGTGGCAAAGGAAGTGCTTCACCGCATATTTATGGTAGCCCAAGCTCTGGTGAATTGCTGGCGTTTGAACGTTCACCAAAGAAACAGTACCGATTTTTTTAGGAAAATAAGGGAACAGGTTTACATTGCAGTAGGTATGAATATGTGAGAGGTTTGAGGAAACGTTCCGCCTGCTATTTTGTCATATTCCTTTTTCATTGCAGAAGATAAAAATTTAATGAAGCAAACATACGTGCATATACAATACAATACATACATACACGTTGTTAAACGATACATTACCGCCACTTTAAGTCACCTCGACTTTGTGTTTCTTCTTACTGGCTTTTTATCGTCTTCATATTCAGTCAATGCGCTGCACCTGTGACTTTAAAAGATATCCTCTTGTTAAAACTTCAATTGTACCTACGTTGGGGGCGTGCTACGGGGCGTATGAGTACTGCAGCATTATTGGCGCTTGTGTGCATATGTATTTACATAGTATTTTAACAGCGTCTCTATGAATTTTCGATATAAATTGTGATGCACAAAATCCCTTTATTGTTATTTCTTTGAAATATATCGCAGAATTACATTACTGTTAACCGTTTGTATGTATGGTAACTTGTACACGGAGAGCAGCAGAGAGATAAAGACCGAAACCACATTAAATCCTTATTTTAATTCGAAGTCCGCATGTGGGCTCAAAGATGCTTTGTTTAAGATTACAGTAAAATAGTTTTCTTGCATTTGTCTTTTAAATCCCGTTATGCTTACTTTTCAATAGCGGTGTTCCATATTGCAACCTAAATTCGCTAATAGTCGGTCTCGAGGTAAAAAAAATCTATTTGCTTTTTGCTATCGTTGGCACATCTGACACACAGTGCTTATCGATTTGCCAATTGTTGCACATGGCAGTTCGAAAATGGAAGAAATAAATACACCCACATACATACATGCATATCTATGTAAAAGTGCGCTGTACTATGAAGGCAAGCTCATGGAATGCAAAGAAAGTCTGCACACAAGAGGAAGTGTAGTGCGTTTTGCAGACTTCCTTGGTACGAGACATGCAACGCGCAGTTCCAGCACACTTACCGTGGCAACAATTGAATTTACGCAACTAGTACAACCAAGTTGACCACATACATATATATATATATAGATATGTACCGTTAGTCAATTGTGTGTAAACAAATACAGTCAAGCGTTTGCGAAAGCAACAAGCGCAAATCGTTGTGGCGAGAAAAAACACCATCAACAATTTAGTGAGTTGTATTTGCAAACGCTTTGTAACAACAACAACAATAATACAAGGCGCATGACATATGCCACTAACAGGAGAAAAAAGAAGCGAGGCACATTAGAAATAAAAGGGTAACAATTAGCGCTTGCATAAGATATATGAATGTATATGTATGTGTATATGTCTGCCAGCACGACAGGATACGCCGACGCTGAGCAAGTTGCACTTACGTAGAGATACAGATAAACAGGCACACATAGAAAGAAACGCAGAAGCCTGCTTGCTTCCAACAACAAGCGTGTGTTGCATTAACAACAACAGCTACAATGAATATCTTTCAACAGAGCACGTGCGTATACAATCAAAACATAACCCATACCAACACGTTGTTGGGTCTCGATATTGGTGGCAGCGTTTTCGAAATGAACGTCAAGCCTCCAGTAGCACAAAACACACACACGTATGTACAACGACTCGGCTACCGAATGCGCATATTGAGCGCTTGCGCATTGCATTCTCGAAGTTGTGAGTTTACGATATTAGCTGAGACACATACACGCGCAGCGGACAAAGGTAAACAGCAGCAGCAGGCAATAACACACACACAGAGTGAAACTGCGAAAGAAAGCGCTTTGGTCTGCACAGACAGCAGTCTGGCTCTTGACTTGTTGTGTCCACTTTTCGCACAATCCATTCCTTCGAGGCAGCGCGGCAGCTGGTTGGGTGTCTACGCGTTCACAGCAAAAGTGCTCTTTAGGTGCTAGCAGCTAGAACAGTTCACATGCGTCCGTTGAGCTGAACGCACGTGCTCGCGTCTGCAGCGCTTCTGGTGTGATTTAGTTTTGGCAAAAAACACGAACAAAAAATTGAATCGAATCTTAAAATACCAAAGCAAACGCGCGCTCGTGTAACGGCATTGGAGTTAATGGGCCCCTAATAAACGAGGGATTTGAAGTAATCTACGCTTATGGATTTTTAACAAAATAGCTATTCAAAAAAAAAATTTGTATAATACGCAAGCAAAATCATGCGTTGTTTCTTTAATACTAATTAAAAAAATAACGGAAAAAAATGAATTTTCATGAAATTTATTGGTTTACAAGACGTCTATAATGCTGGCTCTATTTCATCAAACATCACTGTACAAGTATATTCTGTTCTCTGTCCTACTTTTGGATTATTCAAATTTGCTTTAATCCTGTATTTATATGCTTGGAAGTTTTGTGCGATAAATATGATGTTAACTCTTGATAAAATTGATTTTGTTTTCATTTTGTCTAATAACCTTAATTTTTATTTGAACTCCAATCAAGTAGGAATTGTTTACTTATTTATTTATTATTACTAATTTTGTTTTTTTAATTCAATACCTTGAAAATAACAACAAACAAACTTTTAGTAACAATCCTAAACAATTTCTATATTATTTTTTAATAGTTAGAATACATTTTAAACTAAAGTGAGTCTCTCATATAAATATTTCGGTTACTAAGACAGTGACTTGTCTTTATTAGCTGAATTTCGTCTGTGTAGACCGTTTGACCGCAATTAGTTTCCAATTTGAATTTCACTCGAATTAAATTGTATTCTTACGCCATTAAGACATCATCGATTGTGTTAGTGTGTTTGCGTGTGTGTGCGCTGTGCTTGCTTCCTGGCTTGGTGCAACGGCTGTGTCGTGGTGGAAATCAGTGCGGCGTGGCGGCAAACGAGTATCTGAAACGAAGCGACTACACACAGCTGCAAAAATAACAACAAATAACAGCAAATTGTTGGAATTTTACGAACTCAGTAGACACTCAATACCCAGCTAGCAGCTGACATAAGTGTTCATGTTTCTTTGGCTTACCTATGTGAGCGTGTCCGTGAATGTGTGTCGGTTGCGCGGAAATTGTATCCGATTTGACAGTAAGCAGCTGCTGTGCGCCGCGCCAACAAATGAGCTAGACAACCAGACCCAATCACACAACGCACAACTACAACAACCGAAGCAACATGTGGAGAAGTAGATGTGGAAATATTTATGGAAATTCATTGCTTGCGAGAAAAACGGATGAAAAAAGCTGAAAAATTAATAGAATAACAATGCTTCAAATTCAAATTATGCCACTAACTTTGGAAGCAACATGTTTCAGTTTGTAATGCGGGTAAGTGAATAAAGTGTATAAAGTAGCTGCATCCGCTGTTGGTAATTTCATTGTAGCGGAAGTAGGCGCTTAGCCCTAATTGATTGCTACTAGCAAATGGAATGTAAACAGAATGAAGATGTAATATGGTTGAGTGGTGGCGTGTGATTCACATCGTTCCCATCTAAGTGTCGCCTCACAGTAGAGCTTAGTATAAGCTCTTGTTCCATTAGAAATTAATAACTAGTTAGTATGACTTGTACGCACAGATGACGTGGAAAAGTCTGTTAAAATATTGTATTTCAAACTGTAAGAGCAATCGTTAGTTTTCCTATTTCTATAATTTTCAGATTTTGCAAATACATTTCATAGAGAATATATGCTTAAAACTATACTTAAATATCTTATAAGATAAATATGAGAAGCACATCTAGAGTTCGTATTAATGAAAAAATTCTTAATGGTACTATATTATTGCTATTAAGTAGCCTAAAGTGTTTGTTTAGCTAAGAAAAAAAACAACTTTGCGATGTTTTGAGTCTCAAGCCAGCGTAGCTACTTAATTACACTATATGTTATCTATGTAAATGGCAACAAACAAAGGCGAAATACAATTTAAAAAATTCAACATATTATATTCCGCGTGATTTCATCATATCTACGAGTATATTGTATGTGGAACATGGCGTATGAGTAACTTTTTTTTATTAATTAAATAAAAGCGGTAGTAATTCGAAAAGAAACTTCTTTAAAAGAACTTTTAAAAACTTAATTGCCTAGTGTATTAAATTTTATTATTTCCTTCCCAAAACCATTTATTATAACGACCTCCCTACCAGGTTTTTGAAACATATAGACGTTTACTTCAAAAAGCCTCGGCCGTTACCGCGCATTATCACAAAATTTTTTGCCAACAAACATACCGTATCATTAGGACTTTATGAACGGGAAAGTTGCTGGAGTAAGAACCATAGGAAATGGTGGCCCCGAAAGCACTTCACCAATAATTCAACTATGATTCTTTAATTTACTGGTGCGGAAATCGTTGAATATGTAGATGTGTTTATTATTTAGCAAAATGGCTGGCAACAACCGAAGCAACATGTGGAAATATTTATGGAAATTCATTGCTTGCGAAAAAACGGATGAAAAAAGCAGGAAAATTAATAGAATAACAATGCTTCAAACTCAAATTATGCCACTAACTTTGGAAGCAATATTTTCCAGTTTGTAATGCGGGTAAGTGTATAAAGTAGCTGCATCCGCTGTTGGTAATTTCATAGTAGCGGAAGTAGGCGCTTAGCGCTAATTGATTGCTAATAGCAAATGGAATGTAAACAGAATGAAGATGTAATATGGTTGAGTGTTGGTGTGTGATTCACATCGTTCCCATCTAAGTGTCGCCTCACAGTAGAGCTTAGTATAAGGTCTTGTTCCATTAAACATTAATAACTAGTTAGTATGACTTGTACGCACAGATGACGTGGGAAAAGTCTGTTAAAATATTTCTATGATAGTTCGAACTGTAAGAGCAAACGTTAGTTTTCTTATTTCTATAATTTTCAGATTTTGTAAATACATTTCATAGAGTATATGTGCTTAAAACTATACTTAAATATCTTATAAGAAAAATATGAAAAGCACATCTGGAGTTCATATTAATAAAAAAATGCTACTATATTATTACTATTAAGTAGCCTAAAGTGTTTGTTTGAAAGTCTCAGGCTAGCGTAGCTACTTAATTACACTATATGTTATCTGTGTAAATGACAGAAAAAAAATAAAGGCAAAATAAAATTAAAAAAATTTGACATATTACATTCCTCGTGATTTCATCATATCTATGAGTGTATTGTATGTGGAACATGGCGTATTAGTAACTTTTTTCATTAATTAAATTTTATTATTTCCTTCCCAAAACCATTTATTATAACGACCTCCCTACCAGTTTTTTGATACATTTAGACTTCAAAGAGCCTCGGCCGTTACCGCGCATTATCACAAAATTGTTTGCCAACAAACATACCGTATCATTAGGACTTTATGAACAGGAAAGTTGCTGGAGTAAGAACCATAGGTAATGGTGGCCTCGAAAGCACTTCACCAATAATTCAAATATGATTCTTTAATTTACTGGTGCGGAAAACGTTGAGTATGTAGATGCGTCTATTATTTAGCAAAATGGCTGGCATCCATATCCCATATCAGGAAAACATTTATATAGCTTTTAAAACTTGGAAATATTTCGATTTTACTTGCTTTCAGTAACAGTTTCTAAGCCGATACGCAGCACGAGTTTATTCAAGAAAAAATTAAGAACATAGCTGTTTTAATTGGTCATTTTGTCTGTATTAGCCGCTAGGGTTAGGCGTGTTTTATGAGCTTGGTGAATTTGGGTGGTTAAATAACACTTCTATATACGCCAGAAATGGCACCGTGTTTCTTCATTTCCGAAACTAGCATGAATCTTAAAGGATCGTTTAATATTTAAAGCGCATCGCTGAAAGAGCTAAAAGCTATCACAAAAATCGACTTTAAGAAGTGTTTCGACGATTGGAAAAAGCCTGGAACAAGTGTATATTATTGAATGGAGACTATTTTAAAGACAACAACACACCTCATATTCATTTCACACAAAAGTGTTTTTAATTTTAGTATTCGGCGGCGATAGTCTTCTCCACAGTCAATTCTCTTTGACCATACAGTTTAGTTCACCTGCAATGGTTTGTATTCTAAATATTTTTTGTTTTGTATATTTCATACTTTGAAAGTTTTCAACTTTTCCACCTCCGCTATTATCTGTTGTTGTTAGAGCTTACGTGTATTCTACTGGTGGTTTAATCTTTTCAGTGTCTGCGGACTTGAGTGGAATACTTGAGGCTGCTATGCCTTTTAATCAAAGCTTAATTAACTTCAAATTAGGAACGGAAATTTATGCCTTTCAACAATGAGCCCCATACATAAAGACACAAAAAAGTTCGAAAGAGAATGAGGGAGACCACATCAAGAACGAGTTTTCTTTGACCACAAAGTTTTCATTTGAAGAGATGACCACAAGAAATCCACAAAAATAAATGAAAAGAGAGTAAGGATAAGACATAAACGTGAAAGCCTTCTTAAAAGAAATTATGGTTATTATATTAAATGACGTTGAATGATAAGCAGACTGTTGCTAATGACCTGAATATCCACCGCTTATATGCATTATATATATATATATTATATGAAATCTGCTGACCTTGTACTGTCAGTACAAACTATTATTGCGCCTTATGCATATATACTAGTATATTTATGCATATAAAGTGTAAACCCACCTGCTAGTGGGGTGTATCAAGCTTGTTTTTCTATTGGATTTTATTTTTGTTATTTTGGCAGTGCAAAAGCTAATGTAAAGCTTTTGCTACGTGCACTCGACTCAATGCACCGGAAAATTTTGAACAAAAACTACAGGCATCGATTGTGACATCGTAGCGCACATATGCATAGCTAAATGCAAGTAGCAAAAGTAAATATGGAAATGGAAAAATGAGTTTCAGATATTTGGAGTGAGCAACGCTTGTCTACTTAGCACATACCAGAGTACGCATTATAATATCAATTATGTTATTGTATAAGTTAAATAAAACTACTTTAAAATATACTTTAAAATATTGTTATTAATTATTGTTATTATTAGTCACATATTCATAGAATTATCAAAACAATAATTTTTTATGAAAAATTGAAATTTAATATTTAATATTATATACAAGTATTATTTGAAATTTGTTTTTTTTTAAATAGTTTTACTAAAAAGTTTCAAAAATATATTAAATTCCGTAATTAGTAAATATAATGAACTTTTATACTAATAAATCAGAATTTATTTTTACAAAAATTAGTTTTATTCAAATCAAGAAGAAACGTTAAATTCGGTTGCATCGAAGGTATAGTAGCCTTCACAAATTCAACAGATTCACTTTTAGAGATATCGATCTGAAATTTTGCTCATTTCTCGGGACGACCGATAGCATTAAGCTGCCATACAAACTAGTCGATCAAAATCAAGTCAATTTAGCAATGTGCGTCTGTCAGTCCGTACGTCTGTATATATACGAACTAGTACCTCAGTTTTTGGGATATCTCATGTGAATTTTGCACTCATCATTTTCTCACAAAGGAGCTGCTCGTTTGTCGGAACGGCCGATATCTGCCATACAATCTGAGCGATCAAAATCAAGCTCTTTCAGTATTCTTTTGCATTCGTTTATTGCCACACGTAACGTGTACGTACGTATGCATATTGTACGGCATGTACACAGTTAATTTGAGTCTGGTCCATGAGCGCTCAATTTCGTAAAGGAGATAATCAATAAATGTGAATCGAAATAAAATCGATATCGATGAATATATCATAAAACAAGTAAGGAAGGGCTAAGTTCGGATGTAACCGAACATTTTATACTCTCGCAAAGGTTGTAGTCCGATTTTGCCCATTTTCGCACTATAATATAGAGCCAAAAAGATTCGACATGATCAGCAAGAGTCAAAATGACAGCACTCTATTACACTACCGCCTAGAACTTGCAACAATGCAAGAAATGCAATAAACATGTACATAGGTATATGCATAAAATGCTTTGGTTTTTGGCAACTGGGTTTGCTTCAGTTTGTGTTGGTCGCTATAATAATTACAAATCTGCAGGCTCCGATACCCGAAATTACCAGCAGTACGCAGCTGCAAACGCTGTGGAAAATGCAAATGTGAAAATAAAGCAGTAAATTTGTAATACTGATAAGCAAGCGCTCACTGGCCTTGGAACCTATTAAATTAAAGTCCGTTTGGGATCTTACCACAGGGGAGGCAATATATATGGGAAGAATGGAAAATGAGTGGCCGTAAAGAAAACAAGTTTCAAAGAAAAATATTCCTTTTTTAAAGCGCTGCTACCTTACGCTTACATGAAGTGAGCAGTGAATATATAAGAATCAGAATAACGAGGCATTTCGCCTACACGCACACTCTTAGACAGCGAACA